CCAAATACAATGGATCAGCCATCACCAAGAACCTAGTATGACAATAGCTTGAGCAGACGACCGAGCAATTTTGAGCACCGTCCTTAAGAGTTGTGTTTGTTTTAGCTTAAAGACCTTTTAGTCCTTTTGGCTAAAACAAACAGTTTCGGCTAAATCCTGCAACAATCTGAATAATCCAAACAAACACTCGTCTCTCTTGTCGCTGAAAATTCATCATGGGGTGTGGTTAAAAATATATTGTATTATAGTGCAAGGTCACACATCATGGATATTCAGTCAGTAGACAAAGAGGACCTGTCTCGGTGTACCTAGTCACTTACACAACAGCCGCGAGAAGCAAGCGAGAAACAATCCATTGCAATCGAAAGTTAGCGAAAAAAGGACTCCTGTCCTATTTTCTTTGCTGCACGCGGAACGAAGGAAATTGGAGACTTCTGCAAGCAGGCTCCACCCTCCAGGGCAAACTCAATACAGGCCAGCCCTTAATTACCTGATACTGGTAACGGTGTGAAATAGGCCTTTCATCCGGACAGATAGGTTATCAAATAAGACAAAAGAAGATTTTGCCAAAAAAAATCACGAAAACAAACAAAATAACAGCACGTAGGCGCATTGCAACGTCAATTGCACATGCGTAGAGTAGTCAAAACTACAATTAAAGGCAGACAAACTTGATAGTAGCGTCCCATTTAATAGCAAAACGAGCAGCGAACCACACGCAACACAATCATGAGCTTCAAACCTTATTGTGTCGGTGAATGGCTTCCTTCCGATCAGAATGTTATTGACAACTGGTTAGGCGATTTGATCACAGAAGTCAAAGCTAAATCCAACGATAAATATCAGTTGTTACTGGCTCTTCATCCAGCAGCTGAAGATGAAGAAACAGCCATGGGTGAAATTAAACCTGCAGTTACCAACGCTACAGATAAAGAGCTCAATCTCCATCAACCGGTTGAAGATCTGAAGAATGCTATTCTCTCCGACCCAGAGATCAACATGTTCTTCCATCAAATGTTCTGGCAACAGTACAAGCTTCCTGGTGATCCGCACAAAAAGGTTCCGTCCTGGCAATTGATGATTATACTACTCGACCACATCATGACTATAGCTCCAAAGTTCAAAAAAAGTGGTTTGGTTGCCATCCCCATCAGTGCCATGTTGAACTGGCCGATGGCTACGAATGCTGGATTTGCTGCTTTCCTGAACGACAAAGTCAACAGGTTGTTCAAGAATATTCTCAACTACTGGGGAAAGTTTCTAACCAGTCCCCAATCTCGCTATGTTCTGAATGATGATCCTCGACATGGTTGGCTCGGTGAGGACGCAATGGAAGCAATGCCAAACTTCGTCAAATGGTTCCAATGCAACCCACATGAAGAACATTATGGATTCAAATCGTGGGATGATTTTTTCACCAGAGAGTTTCGCCCTGGAATTCGTCCAGTAGAATCTCCAGATGATGATTCCATTGTTGCCAATGCCTGTGAGTCGGCGCCGTACAGAATATCCAGAGCCGTACGAAACACGGACTACTTTTGGATAAAGCACCAACGCTACTCCTTGGATTTCATCCTGAACATGAGTGACCTGGCCAAGCAATTTCATGGTGGAACAGTCTACCAAGCGTTCCTAAGCGCCCTCAGCTATCACCGATGGCACAGCCCCGTGTCGGGTACCATTTACAAAACAGAACTTGTTGATGGTTCCTATTACTCTGCAACCCATAACATCAAGGACGACCCCTCAATACCCAACACTGTGAAGTCACAAGGATACCTGGCCCAAGTAGCTGCCCGAGGTATTATCTACATCAAAGCTGACAATCCTGATATCGGCTTGATGTGCTTCGTATCAATCGGTATGGTTGAAGTTTCCTCCAACGAAATCACTGTTAAAGAGGGGGATAAAGTGAAGAAAGGTGACCAGCTCGGCATGTTTCACTTTGGTGGTTCCACGCATTGTCTGATATTCCGACCTGGAGTAACCATCGACTTTGATACGCGAGGTCAAACGCCAAGTCTGGATACAGTTAATATTCCAGTTAAATCGAAAATTGCCAAGGTATATCCAGCAGGCAAAAAGTAGTGAGGACTTCGACGAACATTGAACTGTGATTTCACATGACTTATACCCCGATCAAAGGCGCTGAAACTTTAGGAACTAGTAATTTTCTTTCGTTTCTTCTAACAGTTGTTCAGTTACTGGGATAAATGGAATTTTTTAGAGAAGCTTAGAGACGCTTCAGCCGATATTATTTTTACCTAATTGATGCACATTTGAGAGAAAATCAAGGGCTTCGAAGAAGTCTTAATGCTTACAGTGTAGACCTTTTGGCTCAAAACTGCAAGAAATCTTTTTGTTTTCATCTTTTCGTAACATGAGCGGGTATGTTTAATAATTATTCATAGCATGTTTTCAAATCGAAGCATCAAATCAAGTAGTTTCTGACGTTTCAGGCTTCGCCGGCTTAACTGACCTATGTCCCTTTTGTTTTGGCATATGCGACTGGGATTTTTAATTAATCAGGCGTGCGAGCCCCAGGGTGCGAGCCCAAAGTGTTTGAGTTCGTATTTTGAAAATTACTAAATAGCATGGTTTTACAGGGTAAGAAATGGGAGAAAACGTAGGTTAATTCATATTTGTCCCATTATTACTTAGTCGGGGAAAAGGAAAAACTGCCCGGATACAATGGGCTTCAGATGTCTTATTTTACCTAATTTGTCATGCGGAGTTATTACTTTACTGAGTTGTTTGCTTGTCTATGTAGTCTTGAAACTAAAAACCCTTAGAAGAGAGATGCACTATGTGCATGTTTTGGATGTTTGCATGTAACGATAATTTAAACTACCAAGTCTAACGGTTTAGTATAAGAACAGTAATTTTATGTCAAACCTTGCAGTATTCATATTGTCTAGTTCTGTACGAAACCTTACGTGCTGTGTGCAAATAAAGATCTTTGTCTTAAATCGTGCTGTCTAAAATCTCGTGTACTTTGACTTTCAGTTATTTGAGGGTAATGGGTTTATGGTTAAACTTTCACGAACAAATCACCATTCGCTTTTGATCGGCAGTGTAGTCTTGTTCAGGAATAATGAAACACGAAATGTTAAACTTTGACGGTGCTTTCTCGAACGCAACTGAATCATATCGAGTGGGTTATATGTCAGTCGTTTAAAAGTTGTTTATTGCTAACTGTTGACTTTTCTTTATCTATTTCATTCGTTCATAAATTCATAATTTTTAACTAAACACGGTACTATTACGGAGCTTATTTTTATTCCGTTTTCCCACATTAGTTTGGTTAAGAATCAAAGTCATGAAGCATCGAAATGTTGTCTCCAAACACTGATTCTCGCTGAAAACATCACATTCCAAACAGCGCCTTCGCCTGGAGGACAAAAGTCCTTGTCAGAGCGTATCTGATTGGTCCATTTTCCGTCACATCATCGTCAATCACTGTCAACTGAAAGAACCCGTAAAATATGATAATTTTGGTATACTTAGGCCACGGTATCAAAGCCTTTTTGTTTTTGCTAACCCAACCGCTAAAACTCCTGGCTAGTATTGCGTTGACTAGAGTAACTATGTTATATTAGAAATATTTCTGAGCCCCAGACGGGAACCGAAACTTTATTAAACTTCTGATCAGCTCTGCAACGCTCCAACCATTGAGCGTAGTTAGGCAAGCCTGACAAATTATACCAAATACAATGGATCAGCCATCACCAAGAACCTAGTATGACAATAGCTTGAGCAGACGACCGAGCAATTTTGAGCACCGTCCTTAAGAGTTGTGTTTGTTTTAGCTTAAAGACCTTTTAGTCCTTTTGGCTAAAACAAACAGTTTCGGCTAAATCCTGCAACAATCTGAATAATCCAAACAAACACTCGTCTCTCTTGTCGCTGAAAATTCATCATGGGGTGTGGTTAAAAATATATTGTATTATAGTGCAAGGTCACACATCATGGATATTCAGTCAGTAGACAAAGAGGACCTGTCTCGGTGTACCTAGTCACTTACACAACAGCCGCGAGAAGCAAGCGAGAAACAATCCATTGCAATCGAAAGTTAGCGAAAAAAGGACTCCTGTCCTATTTTCTTTGCTGCACGCGGAACGAAGGAAATTGGAGACTTCTGCAAGCAGGCTCCACCCTCCAGGGCAAACTCAATACAGGCCAGCCCTTAATTACCTGATACTGGTAACGGTGTGAAATAGGCCTTTCATCCGGACAGATAGGTTATCAAATAAGACAAAAGAAGATTTTGCCAAAAAAAATCACGAAAACAAACAAAATAACAGCACGTAGGCGCATTGCAACGTCAATTGCACATGCGTAGAGTAGTCAAAACTACAATTAAAGGCAGACAAACTTGATAGTAGCGTCCCATTTAATAGCAAAACGAGCAGCGAACCACACGCAACACAATCATGAGCTTCAAACCTTATTGTGTCGGTGAATGGCTTCCTTCCGATCAGAATGTTATTGACAACTGGTTAGGCGATTTGATCACAGAAGTCAAAGCTAAATCCAACGATAAATATCAGTTGTTACTGGCTCTTCATCCAGCAGCTGAAGATGAAGAAACAGCCATGGGTGAAATTAAACCTGCAGTTACCAACGCTACAGATAAAGAGCTCAATCTCCATCAACCGGTTGAAGATCTGAAGAATGCTATTCTCTCCGACCCAGAGATCAACATGTTCTTCCATCAAATGTTCTGGCAACAGTACAAGCTTCCTGGTGATCCGCACAAAAAGGTTCCGTCCTGGCAATTGATGATTATACTACTCGACCACATCATGACTATAGCTCCAAAGTTCAAAAAAAGTGGTTTGGTTGCCATCCCCATCAGTGCCATGTTGAACTGGCCGATGGCTACGAATGCTGGATTTGCTGCTTTCCTGAACGACAAAGTCAACAGGTTGTT